GTACAGTTCGTTTTCTGTTTTCTGAAAAACTCTTGAGTCTGAACTCCCCTATTCGCTCTCTTCCACTCTCCTTTCTCTCTGTATTTATTTCTCTCTGTCTGCTCTCTTTGCAGTATGGGTTAAAGTGGGTATATTAGTGCATTCTGTTTGTTCTGTTCTCCTGCTATGTGGCCTCTCTAGGCCTGAGGCGTGAGGCTTCTTGCTGTGTTTGCATGACCTTTGCGCTGACGGTGTGCCCAGCCACTGAAAACGTCAGCACTATCAGTTAACACTAAGCTGCGGGTAATCCCTGCTTAATTACTCAGCTTATCACAAGCATATGCATTGGTGTCTGACATGATTTATGGAAGCCTCATTTACTGTGCTGCTGATGCTTTTTATTTGAGAATGTGTGTATGTGTGTGTAATTTGTGTCTGACTGTGCGAGGATTACATATACCTGTATATGAAGGTCTGCAGGCATGTATGAATGTACTCATATCTGTATAAAATACTGTGTTAAAGTAAGAGAGCACACTTTATTTATTTAAATAGTCATTTCAGCATCAAATACAAAAAAGCGTATTTTTTAACAGAAAATTACACCCTGAGGTCTCAACAACTGAATGTAATATAAGTTTTATCAGTATTTATTAGTGTGTCTGCAGGAATGTTTTTCCACCACCAAAGTTCAGTGTAAAATGTTGGTTGCATTTCCTACTCATTACCATCTGAGTAATCCCAAACACATTCAGTAAAATTGAGGTCTGGACTGGTCTATTGTTTTGAAAACACCACCAACTTCTTTATTTGACTTGCAGATATTCTTCTTTATTGCCAGTCTGTAACAGCCAGTAATGCTTATTTAGCTACACATCCTGTCAGACCCATGTTTTCTCCCCTATCTCTCGAACATGTCTGATGGTTACAGTTTTGGTGGTGTAGCAGGTCTTGCCTGGTTCTTAGGGGTCCTGTTACCTCTAATTCTTTCAGTAATTGGCCCCTGCAACAAAAATAGTATGTATGACATTTTTTGTAAAAATCATTCAAGCATGGAATGACATTGTTTATGTCCTGTATGTAAAAATGAAGGGGCCACTAAAATGTAAATAAAGCATAGTTTGCCATTTTAATGTACAAAGGTTGTACAAAATAAATAAATAAAAACAAATAACTTCTTATTCAAAAAAATGGGATTAAATACATGTCTTTTTGTTGGAGGGGCTCAAATAATAACTCCAGTTTAGTTTCATTTGCCTTTCCCCTTCCTTACTCAAGTGGAACATTTTATATCCAATCTCCTCAGAAATATCCCCTGAAAAATTGGAATTGTGTACTTAATGGCTGTTTTGACTGGAAAAGAAATAAATGAAGGGTGGTCTCTGACTTTTGTACAGTAGTGTGTGCATGTGTGTGTGTGTGTCTTTGCATTATGGAATGCATTCACACTCACAGGGAGCTGTTTTAGATTATATTTCTGTTGATGGGCCTCTAATGTTTGTTCCACAGTGCCTAACCTAATAAAACCATAAGAGCTTGTGTTCACATAAATAGGTGAATTATTGGTTCACAATTGATCTGCATCATGGCTAAATGGCCTACATCTTACCTAGAAATTACAAGCTGCATCAAGACAAAAGTTATTACCATTACTCAGCTTGCTCTCACCACCACCATACACTGAATTAGTGTTTTAGTTTCCATAGACAATAGACACAATGGACAGTGTTTATCAAACTCCTGAATATCTAAGCTTGCGCTATGGAAAGGGGATAAACTCTCACTTTTGGGCAGAAATTCTTATCAGACCAGTCTTTCTAGGCAGGTAGCTCCAAACTGTAGGAACATTCTGATAACAAGCAGATCCGTTTTTAAATTTTAACGCAATTTCTGAACCAACAAGATATCATTATGACCAACATGGTCACATGCTCTTCAGTATAGGGTGCAAGCAAGGAACCCTGGATTAATTGCAAGCTATAAAAACTTTCAAAGACCATTTTGATGAAAAATGAAGAGAAATTGTTCATAATATGTTTATTCAATGAATTTTAGATAATAATATCTGCAGTAGGACATATTTGCTTCTTTTAATCTGAACCATGTAGTTCCTAATGCCAGTCCTGGGAATACACACTCAGCACATTTTGGTGTTTACTACTTTAATACACCTGACCCAGCACACCAGGGGCTTGTTAATTAGTTAATAAGTTGAATCAGGTGTGCTAGATAAGGGAAAGCAAAAGATGTGCAGAGTATGAGGTTCCCAAGACTGTCATTGGGAACCTCTAGTGCAACTCTTTTCTTATTACTCCAGTAAACATGCTGGAGTTGTGATGTATTTGCCGTTCATTCAGCTCTTACCCTTAGTATGAACACATGCATAAACATCAATAATTTAGTTGGATATCGCAAACCCTATTTAAATTCTGTTATTGTCAGCTATCTTAGTGGGCTACCCAGCTCTGAACTCTGATCCACATTGATTAATTAGACTAGAGTAAGCTTGTTTTGTACTAGAGCCAATGTGACCTGGCAGTCTTGTGGAAAAATGTAAGCAATTATGCTTTAAACAATCATTTTTGCAGCTTTATCACCACCAACTCTTCCCATGCTGGACAATATAATATAAGATTTGTGTTTTTCTTAAATTTGCCATAATCATTTCAGTTGTATTTATTACTGCAAATTAAGTTTAAATTAAATATTTTTTTTAAAAGTTCTTTTATTTTGTATATTATTGTATTGCTTTTATTTTATTGTTTGTCTTATGGGACCCATTGTATAAATAAATGACAAATTCATTAATGACGATATATTTCTACACTGTACATAGATGACACATAGTCACTGTGCAGAAGTCAGTGACTACTTTTCTATTAGCTGTGCTCCCATGGAAAAAGATAAACAATTATAGATTTTGCGACTTTACCACAACCAACTCTTTCACTGCAACCCACAACTTGAAACCACTGGACTATGCAAGCTCTTACATCCCTGCAGTATTAATGGCACTCTTGTTAAAGATGAACGGACAGGCTATGAATATATTTCTTTGTTGCTTGTCAGCTTGATTTTACAGTAAAAACATTAAACATCTAATTTTAGTGAGGCAAAATTCTTAAAAAACTCAAACACGTGTATCACAGTTGTTGGCATCATTTGGTATTTTTCAGGACTCATCCTTTACTAACACCATTGACTCTTCTCTCTTAACACTGGATAAGGAGCGAGGATATATAAAAGGATCTGGGGCTATTCGTCCATATAAAATCTTGCCTTTGGCTTGTGAACCGTTCACGTTCTATATATTCTATAGTGAGCTACTGAATGCAGTGCTTGAAAGAGAACTCTGAGCTTGAATGTAGTGAAATATCAGTGAAACATATCACTACATCACACTGATGGCACGCTGCATTGGATATTGCATTTGTAACTTAGACAGCGCCTTACTATTTGTGTTGGCCATCCTCATTATGTTTATTTTGTACATGTCTTAGGATGAAATACAGCAGACCCTGGGGTTAATATACCTCATTAATTGCGTAGTTTGGTCACTTGCAGTCAATGTTTGATGCACTATGTTTAGCCACTTATTTCCTCAGACTTGTTTGTGAATTATTATTAAATTTTATTTTATTTATTTTGTACGTCTTATGATGAAATACAGCAGGGCTTACAGTTAATTTACCTCATTAATTGCATAGTTTAGTTCCTTGCAGTCCTTGATTCATGCAGTAGTTTAAGACACTTTTGGTTTCTTGAGATTTATTTGTGATTTTTCTTAAACATAATTTATTTTCTCAATTTCTTCCTTCTAATTAGCCAATTTTTAAGGTCTCTTGCATGACAGTAGGCCTGCTGTGGGAGGGCAAAGGGCTGCACGCTGCTCCTGTGATGCGTATCATTTCAATCTGCCAGACATTTGACATTGCTTAAGCCGTCAGTGCTCTTACTGGTGAAGCCTAACAAAACTGCACAAATATACTTAGTGTGGGAAAGAAGTGTCCTATAGCCCTACCTCTCAGTAAGAATGTGGCCACCTCTGTCTTCATATCATATACAGTTAGATACAGCGTGCTCCTATTCTCTTCCAAAAATTCTTTATATATATATATATATATATATATATATATATATATATATATATATATATATATATACTTAACGCTTTCATCTTTGAGAGGATGTGTAGCTGTAACAAAAAAGGAGAAGAAAATAAATAAAAAACAGGCAAAGAAGCTGCTGGTGTTCTCAGAACAATGGACTGACCACCCTAGAGTCCAGACCTCAGCATCATTGTTTTTGGGATTACTTGGATTGTGAGAAACATAAAAACAACCAACTTCTAAGACTGAACTTCAGAGGTGTGGAAAAATGTCCCTACAGATTTATCATATGTCTCTCAAAAAATGGAAACTATATGTTAAACTCAAAATGCTGGACAACGTGTATTAATTTTAGTTGTTAAGGCTTTTGTGTCATTTTCTGTTAAACAAATGTTTCTGTTTTTCCTGAACTTGAACTGAGTAGGTTGTGGTAAATGGCCCATGGAAATTAAATAATACCATAAAATGGTGTCTGACTTTTACACAGTTCTATGTCATGTGGGAATCAAATACTAATTTGCTTGGTACATACCACTAAATGATTTTTTTACTGGGTGCAGGTTGTGATATCTTGACATTGGAGTAACTTGTGAGATAGTGTATGCAGTGTGGTGTTTACACTTACTTTTGACAGGCTATTTTGCTTCTTTGCTATTTTGCTTCTAGTACTTTGGCATATCCATGCTTATGTATTTAGGATGCTTAGGGGAAGAAATGAGAGGCAATCCACTGCAGTGAAACAGCAGAGAGAAAGCTAATAACTTTCTGTCTGACCGACATAGCCTTCCTCTCTGCCAGCACAGCCCTGATCTCTCTGCAGACATTTCTACTACCTCTTGCTTCAGTCTGGCCTTTGATTTTTATTCAGCAGCTCTCCTAAGGGATCTTAAGATTTCCGTCTCTCTTTCACAGCTCTCCTGTACGCCACCATCTTTGGAAACGTGACTACCATCTTCCAGCAGATGTACACCAACACCAATCGCTACCACGAGATGCTGAACAATGTGCGTGACTTTCTGAAGCTCTATCAGGTGCCCAAAGGCCTGAGCGAAAGAGTCATGGACTACATTGTCTCCACGTGGGCCATGTCCAAAGGCATAGACACAGAGAAGGTAAAAAAGCTTCTACCTCTTCATTTTTAAGTGTTATCTTTGTGTCATCTTCTAAAATATTCCCCAACATCTGTATAAAGAATACTGTTTTCCGATGGAAAGAATGACACAAGAAAGCACTTTTTAGCTCTTTGAGGAAGTCTGATTACTTGTCGGCCAGGTGGCTTTCGGATTTTACTAGTTTTGTTGCCCCAACTTTTCCAAAAATTGTAGGAATAAAGCAACTTCATTTCCTTATTTGTGTTTGAGTTTGACCAGTGGCACATGTGAATTCCTTAAGCTTCTCTGCCCATCCAAGTAAAGTTAAAATACACCATCAATTTAGTGTCAAACAGAGGTGGGTAGTGTCAAGTTATGTTTACTATAGTAAAATATTGATGGAATGTACTCTCCTGAGTATTTTCAAGTCATAATACTTTTACTTCTACTCAAGTATATTATATAGAAAAGGACTACAAAATGAACTCTACTCTTTACTCACTAATATTACATTTTAGACATTCATAACTTTTCTGTTTGGTCTGAACCAGAATAGCAGGTTTGAAAGGTGCCTCGGACCATGGTCTGGACCAAAGGACCAAAATTTGGTCTGACCAGAAGAGGTGGTCTCGGTTTGGGTCAAACTAAACCATGGTTTGGTTCTTTTGCATTGTGAAAACGCTTTCAGACCTATTACAGGAAGTTGAGGCAGGCTACATTGTCATCCATTAAACAGTAGAAGAAGTCAGCCAGTAGAGAAGCAGTAGAGAAGTCAGCTTAGCAACAGTACCACATGGGGAGGAGGTGAAATATTTAATTGTAATTTGATCCGACAAAAACGTCAAAAAGTCAACTAGAAAAAATGCATAAAAACCTTATACTTTATACCTTATTTCCTGAGGATGAGGGAGGATATTATATTTTTTTTCCTTTCAAATGGAAAGGACTACTCACTGAATTGACAAAGCACCAACATCAGACTCACACTCGTCTACAAACCAATCAATGTTAAGTATAAAGAGACACAGCCCACGGATGTGATGATGACAGGACACAATTTTGTCTTGCAAAGTTCTTTAGTGCACTCACTAAATTGCAATGTAAAAGCAAAACTAACCAGATAAAATGTATACAGTGTTCCAAAAACATGAACCATGGTTCGGACTTTCAGGTGTGAAAATGCCCTTAGTTAATAATTCCTTTTTTATGTTTACTTTCATTATGTGTTGGTGTCAACATCTGTACTGTTTTGTGATTAGTCAAAACTTTGTAGCTTTAGCATTTTCTTTTAGACCAAAAGATCCCATAAAAAGGAGAATAGCGCGTAACAAGCTTCAGTTTCTGTGCTGATAGGTGCTGGGTTTTAAAGTTTGATGGATCATTCATCAATCAATCATTCAAGCAGATTTTGACCTAATAATTTTGTACTTCTTATCAAGTTGTTTTTAGGGAATGTATGTTTGCTTCTACTTGAGACATTATTTTACCCAAGTATTAATGTGTTTATTTTAGTATGGGTTTAAGCTAGACTATTTAAACAATTAAAATCATTGAAAAGAAGGGCATTCTCACACTTGAGCTTTTTTCCTGACCAGGGTCCGTTTGACCCGTGAGTTGGTATGTTTCTCGGAGTGTGAAAGCTGTTTTTGAGTCCAGAAACAGTCCAGAGAACTGATGTCTGGTTCTCTTGAAAACAGTGGTCTGAGTTTTCCTTTGATGTAATCCGCAGCATGTGTGACAGCTATCCGCATGTCAAGTAAGGTAATTCTGCGTAATTCAGTTATTGAGATGTAAACAAAGTTATTCAGAGTGGTCTGTTGTAGAGGAACTTATCAACTCTAATTTCTTTTCACTGATGGTGGAAGGAAGCTGTTAGAACAAAACCTTGTATCTCCACATTTGCTGTTTTTCATTTTGTTCACATAATTTGAAAACACTAGCTGCTCTTTGTACCGTGTCAAACCTTCATGAGGAATTGATCAATAGAAATGGCTCAAAATTACTTAGAATGATTTTTTGGGACAAAATATAGCCATTTTATTTACTATTCAAAACACTTGTTTTGTGAGTTTTATATGTGATGCTGATAATGGTGAAATAGTGGTAAACTTGGGAAAAAAATGGGGGCTATTTTGTACCTCTCCACCAGGAATGAATTTTTAAGACCATGTTTTAGGCCAAAACATTCTCAAAGCTATTATAAAATAATGCTTCTGAGATCAGGCAGTGTATTTGCAGCCATTTCATGTAATAACATTCTGTGAGGGAGCTTTTAGAGGCATTAAGCTCTTTACATGTCTGATTTCTGTCACCACCACTGTGAACAATTCAGACTTAGTAAGTTTCTCTACAGCAGAGCATTTCACATCAAACCCTGAATGACTTTGTTTACATTGTAACCATTTAATTATGCAGAAATTTAGAAAAATCATTGAAATTTGTTTTTAAATTTGTCAAGTTATTCCCGGTTTTCATGTGTTGTAACGATGGGGAAGGAGAAGAGTGCTTGCACTGTGAGTAGTATGAAAAACACATGTTGTGCCATCCTACTCTGGTAAAACTCTTCCCAAGAGACTGCTGTTCATCGTTGTTAGCGTGTCAGAAGCCTACCAGAGGAACATAACAGTAATAGAGTTATGAACCTATTGTCAACCCCTTATTATCAAAAATAGTAAAGGGATGAATGTGATATCTAACATTTTGTAAAAAAAAAAGAAATGTGAACACATGGAATTGTGCAATCAATATATGGTTCGGAACAAAGTCTTGTGTTTAAAAACAAACCTGCGATAATAAGCCCCTCCCTCAAATGACCACAGAATAAGGCATTCGGGCGAGTGTGAGACTGCATTCTTTTCCATGTTGCAGTATTGAAAAAGCAGTGAAATCAGTACTTTGTGCAACCCCACTTAGCAATACAGTCATACTTTTTAGATGTCCTTTCTCTTCTCTGAATAAGTCCTGAAATGAGTAATGTGTGACTTTTGGCCCAGGTGCAGAGGTCCGGGTATAGCAAGCTTTTGCATTAAATTGAAGGAATCAGAGGGCAATTTGCAAAAATATTAAGACTGGATTTTCCTGATCAGTCTCAAAGTTCCATCTTCTCTTTCTAGAAGGAGAGAAGCGTAGATACGCCTCTGCTGTACTTAGAGGTTCTTAAACAGTGGTCAGCCCAGAACTTTGTTATGAGCAATGCCAATAACAAAACAAACTGTAGACAGGGGCGCCAATAGACTCACTTTACTGGGGCCGTGTGCCATAAAGCTTTTTGTTTTATTCTGCATTGCTGAGCAGAACTACAGGACATGCCATGCAGATTCACTGTAGGTACTACATTTCCCATAATGCCACAGCATCTTTCCAAAAGCTTGAGCGGCTCACGCTTTCAATCAGGGCCAATTTATATCAGTTTTTTGCATGGAGTAATGGACATACGTAAATATTTAATGGACATACGTAAATATTTAAAAGAAAATTAGCTATGCAGCAGACAAAGTAATGATAGCTCCGAGCTACGTTTGGCCAGCCACAGCATCAGTTACGTTAGCAAAGTGTGTTGATAATAAAGGGAGCTTTGATAAACAAGTTTGCAGAATGAGTGTCATGGTATAGCCAGTATAACAGTAAACTATTCATCTAGCTAGCATGAACTGATGATGCAAAGACTATCATAATTTCACATATAGTTTTAAGCCACAGACGAATTATTTCACATGCATGTGTGTGACAAAAAATATTCAAAGTCAGAATAGAGTCAGAGCAGGAGGGATAAGAGGAACAGAACAGGGAGAAGGAGACAGAGAGAGAGAGAGAGAGAGAGAGAGAGAGAGAGAGAGGAAAAGGGAAAGGAGTGTCAGAAAAAATTATGGTATTAACAATAATTTCTTTAGTCTTAATTTGTTCCTCGTTTCTCAGCCATGACAGAGTAACACCTACTTTGGAGTTAAATCACTTAATCTGCTCAGTGTCTAAAGGGCTTTTTATCAGATGCACAGTTGCAAACTTACAACTGATTGATAAGCAGAGGGGTACGGCTGTGCACCTCTTAATTCTGTGTGAGCTCCAGTACAACAAGTAGGCTAGAAATGCCCCTGCATTAACCTATTATATAAAATATGATAACTCACTTCTGTCACAGGAAAATGAAACATTTCAGCTCATTATGTCTTGCATATTGACCCAAGACCTATGCTAACTACCTATAAATATTTCTTGTTCTGAATGTGTCTGATGAATTACAGTTACAGCCAAAGAAGGTTAGTGGAGGTTTGTCTATTGGTATTGAAAGATAATCTTTTAAATGCAGTTTGAAAGGCTTAAATCCAATTTCAGAGGAAACTCAGAGGAAGTCAGCGGGGGTTCGACATTATTGCCCGCAATGCCGTGGGCGTGAAAAGGCTCCAGTGAGCAAAGCTTGTCTCTGTAAATGTGTTGAGAGCTGCCTTTGACACAGACACAGAGGAAGCTCAACACTCTTTACTGCTTGCATGTGATGCCTTTAGAAGTGTTTGATTCTCAGATAATAAAGCATCATGTCGACAATGGTAATGTCTTTGTAGTGCTGCACAGGAGAAACATTATTTAGTCCTGAAAATAGGTTATTTTAGGATGCAAGTTTGAATAAAACTGCGTCAGTTTTGTGCTTTTTCTCACACTCTTAACCACAACAACAAACTTTTGCAATGTAGTAGGTCACAGTGACCAGTGAAAGTTTTCCATCTGAAATTAGGCCTTAAATTTAAAAAGAACTTAGGTTGAAATGACCTTAAACATACCTCATGTCATTATCAACCTAGCACAATACAGTATCTAACACAAACTGATCTACTGTTGAAACATTCGAGTGACAATAGCAGAGTTTCCATTTAAACATTTTGCAAATTTGAAGCGAATTTGCAAAAAGTCGGTAAAGGAAAATTCAAGTGAATCACTTTCCATCAACTACTGTTATGCCCAAATTCCCGAAGACAACATCACACGTTCGCACAGTTTTTGTGTCGCTAGCTGTGTGTGGAGGGATTTGAACCTGTGTTAGCTCTCAGTAGAGCAGTTTTGACAGCTCTCTGTCAGCTGTAACCTTGACAGTTCCTAGACACTGAATGGGTTGTGACCCATTTAATGAGGGCTGTTCCCCTTCACCATCACCCACCGAACCACTCGGAGCGTCAGTCCAGACGATACATTGACCTACCACACTAAATAATATAATGGCACCATTGGTGGTGCAGTACTTTTACGTACAATTCAGTATGATATATGCGGTTTGAGATGCAGCCAATGTGTCGCTATGTTTGTCATCGTTACATGGAGCAGAAGCATGTTACTTTCATTACCGCTACATCAAAACATGTTAAAAAAAAATCTGTTTCCATCAATGTTTTTTGCCAATCTTTCTACCTCATCTAAGCATAAAAACTGTATTTTGGAATATATAGGCATATTTACACAAATATTTCTAGCTTTTCCATCCAGCTTTTTTATGCGTATTTCTGAAATTCGCAAAAAAGAGGTGAATGTAAAACCCCCTAATAAGTAGTAAAATATACTACACTGTATGTCCAAAAGTGGATCCCTCCTAAGTAATGAATTCAGCTACTTTTAGCTGCAGCCATTCCTGACACAGGGGTTCAGTGGCACACATAGCTTGTATAATCTCCATAGAAAAGCATTGCCAATGGAATGGGATGCTCAGGAGCAGCCACATACAAGCCTAAGGCCACTATGTTCAGTGCCAAACTTTGGCTAGAGGGGTATGATGCTTCTGGCAAGAAATGTTGAATGAGCAGGTGACTACAAATATGCATATTTAGTTTTGTTTTGATATTTTGTTTAACACTAACTGGAAAAAATGGAGCCTGAATCAACCTGAGGTCTGCATTTAAGGGTTTAGCGGGCACTGTTTCAAACATTTTGAAAGCACTATCCCATACAGTACACATGTGTGATGCATGCCTGGGCTTTGCCAAGGTCCCCCACTGTGATGGCTCATCAGCCTCCTCCTACGAGGGGGAAATTGGGCTCTGCAGCATTTTAATTAAGTTCTGGCGAAGTGAGAGAGATGAGACCTAATTCATTTTCCATTGTGCTGCCTCCACGCCTGTCCCACAGCCTCTAATAGAACCATTAGCATGTGAATGCAGCCAGCAGTCTTTGCCACTTTTTTACTTGGCACTTAATAATGTAGCATTAATGCTGCAGCCTCCTCACACACACACACACACACACACATGTACACACTTAAAAGAATGCAGATTATGCCACACATTCCTGAAGTGTTTCCACAAAGCCATGCCAGCGCAATTAAATGTCACTAATTTGATTGTTTCATTTTGATTCAGTCAAATGAGTAAAAATACACCTGTCAATCTTTTTAATTGGCTGTAAAATTCATATTTAATTATACAGAATAGCTTTTTAGGGAAAGTGCCCTTTATCTTATAGAATGTCACAAGACATGATAGAAAAATCTTAAGATATTTATAATTGGTTGCCTCATAGCTATATTCTTATAAATAAGAATAAAAGAAGAAAAGAGTCGCTATACTGTTATAATTTGTGATGAGTAAGGGAAGAAGCAGCTGTTGGTGAGTGGGATTGCTGTTCCTGGAGATCTACTAGTTTAATTGTAAATATGTGTATATAGTGGTATATATCTGTACTGAATGTGGAATTTAGCAAACACACCCAAAACAGTTTTACAATTCAGTCAGGTGAATGTTGAGGCAGGTGAATGAGTCTCGGACTCTTATTGGCAGCACAGTCGTGGTGGGCTTGCAAATGAGGTTGTAGATAAGGATTACTATATAATAGTTTACTTTATTTAAAACTATTAGGTTCCATTTATGTTAAAGGCAGTGAAGTTATTTAAGTGCTGATTTAAACCTGATGTTTATATTGGTTGCTTCGGTTTTGATTAAATTACCAAGTTGACCCGTTGAGGAAGATAAATAATAGAAAAAAACAACTCCCTTAATGTCTCTGATAACATACATTACTGTTGAATTATTATTCAAATAAAAAGACTAGACCACACAATAGGGACAAAATGTTTTCAGACATGTTGTATGTATTAATATAACATCTTAATCAGATCAGCACTGTCAGATCAAAAGAGTAGTTTTTGTGAGCACTTAAAAACTAGGTGCAATTATTTTATTTGACATTTCATATACAGTACTGCAATCCAGTTAAACATGACTGTTGTCATTTTGATGAAAAATGCAGCTGGTCAATATTCTTAAGGTACTGAACAAAATTTGCTCAGACAAGCATTTTGTTTATCACTGTAGCAGATTTATTATATAATCTATATACATACTATTACTTTAACATATCATCTTATTGCCCACCTCTTCAGTAAATATTCTTGTGCGATTCTAAGACATTGCACATATTGACATATGTTGCAAATGTGTGTTGGATATGAGAAAATAAACCAACCAGCCATTTTGTTAATTACACTCTCTGTCCATTTTATTAGCTCCACTGACCATATAGGTGCACTTTGTATTTCTACAGTTGCAGACTGTAGTCCATCTGTTTCTCTGCATACTTTGTTAGCCCCCTTTTACCCTGTTTTTCAATGGTCAGGACCCCCACAGGACCACCACAGAGCAGATGTTATTGGAGTGGTGGATCATTCTCAGCACTGCAGTGACACTGATGTGGTGGTGGGGTGTTAGTGTGTGTTGTTCTGGTATGAGTGGATCAGATACAGTAATGCTGCTGGAGTTTTTAAACACCATGTCCACTCACTGTCCACTCCATTAGACACACCTATCTTGGTGGTCCATCTTGTAGATGTAAAGTCTGTTACTGCACAGTTTGAATTAGTCATCCTCTAGTCCTTCATCAGTGATCATAGTATGCTGCCCACAGGATGCTGTCGGCTAGTCGTTTCTTCTTGGTGGACTATACTCAGTCCAGCAGTAACACTGATGTGTTTAAGAACTCCAGCAGCACTGCTGTGTCCACCCAAATAATACCTGCTCTGTGGGGTCCTGTGGGGGTCTTAACTATTGAAGAACAAGATAAAAGGGGGTTAACAAAGTATGCAGAGAAAAAGATGAACTACAGCCTGTAATTGTAGAACTACAAAGCAGACCTGTAAGGTAAGTAGACCTATATGGACGATGATAGTGTAGGTGGACAATGACAGTGTAGACACAGGAGGTGTACTTAATGAAGTGACCAGTCGGGTGAATGTGTGCCTATATTTGTATCCACATGGGTAATATTACAAGCAACTGTTTTGGAATAGGAAGCTAAATTCTGCAGGGTATAAGATCAGGCAGGTGCTGATGTTCCCATTCTTTTTGTGGATCTTTTGTTCTGTCTGCTTGTGGATTTACACTGTTTTTGTCGAACAGTGCCAGCAAAGAACCAGTCTCAGTCTCAAAGGTCCCAAAGAAATAATGGGGGAAGGCCATGTTTGGAAGTATCCCTAAAAGGAGTTTAAAGGAAATTTACTTGTCTTGCTATGGACCTCAAAGATAGGTTAAAGGTCAAACATCTTAGACTGAACTAGTACCGCAGAGACCTGACTCTGGTGCAGTGGATCAATACTGTGGGCTATTGCAGATGCATGGCTGATATGTGCTAAGTAAGACACTACAGCTCAATAGTGGCTTGTTGTATTTGCTTTTGTGTTGTGATCAATGTGCTGTAAAGTAGAATGATTGTGCTACAGCATTTGATCAAGGAGCCTTGATTAGACCCTGGATTAGCACCATTCACATATGTAATGATGAATAAAAGTTCATTTGCACCCTAGCACATCTGTCTTGCCTTGGCCAGCTATTTCAGTCAGCTAATAATGTTATCAGCAGGATTACTGATGATATTTTATGCCTCTGTTGTTTTTTTGTAATAACTTTCTATTTTGTGAGAGGAGGGAAAGAGAGTATATGCTAGTCCTTCAGCTCACAGTTAATTTAATTATAACTCTAGACAGCACCAAAATGAAATATTCATGCGTGCTGAGAAACTGACATTTGCAAATACCAGCAGCAGCTGAGCAAGTTCTTATTTTGTTTCTTTTTTTTTCTCCTCAGCTTGGGAAAATAATGAACTATGCTAAAAGAAGCTAAATTCACTGCCTGCCAATGCAGTACTGGTCTTTTTTCATATATTCCATTTACAGAGGCACATTCTCCACCCTATTACTCTGCACTTTTTTGACTCACATATATTATAGGCTGGACACTTGCTGAATTGTCTCTTTCTAGACTGCCCTCAGATTGTATTGAGTCAGCTGGAGTCTACGCAACTGGCCACTACACCATGTTGATACACATTCTCATCCAAGTACATTTGCATATGCCAACCAACACACATGCAGTCTGTCACTGCTGTGCAATGTCCTCTCTCTTTGCCCAGGTGCTGTCCATCTGTCCCAAAGACATGCGGGCAGACATCTGCGTGCACCTGAACCGGCAGGTGTTTAACGAGCACCCGGCCTTCCGGCTGGCCAGCGACGGCTGCTTGCGTTCTCTAGCGGTGGAGTTCCAGACCACGCACTGCGCCCCTGGGGACCTCATCTTCCATGCCGGAGAAAGCGTAGACACACTCTGCTTTGTGGTGTCTGGATCACTGGAGGTCATTCAGGATGACGAGGTCATCGCCATTTTAGGTGAGCTAGGTCACTCTTGCACCCCTGAAATTCAATTTAAAGGCATCCTACGCTGGAAAACTCAATTTTCTTTGATGCAAAACAAAACTGTAGAAATTAAGACCAAGTACAGTATTTTCAGACAAAAAAGGGACCTTCACACCAAATCCGATGGTTTTGTCTTTAAACACTCTGAGAACTTGGGAAGCAGACGGAAGAGGAAGGAAAAATGGATTCCTTGAGTAGTAGCAACAGTTAATTAATCATTTTCCTTTTAAGCACTGCAATTAAATGGTTCACACACTGGGTAGACTCTGTTCTACAAAAACACACATTAACAGACTACTGAAAACCTAGTTAAACAAAAAACAGCTCTAAACATTCGCTGTGTTGTACTACGGTACTCACAGTCACTCTCCAGCATTTCCGCTGTGGCTCTCCATATATTTTCTTTAACTTTTGCAATTTTATAGTCAGCTTGTTGCATGTTGTATTTCAGTTGCTTTGTCATGAGCAAGATGAGCTTTTCTGCCACCATTTGTTTGGACTGCAGCCATAGTAACAGAGCTCTGATTGGTCAGCCTTATTTTTAATGCATGCATTAAACTCAGAAAATCAGGCTGGCTCCACTTTAAATTTTTGCAGCATTGCAGGCCATTTTCTGACTCGATGTGAGAGATGACATTAACTTGTATGTGTAGAAGCAGAAATAAGCCAAACACTACAGTCAAATTATTACAGTGACATCTTAAATACGATTCAAAAATAGGTGCATATATGCAGAGAACATGCTTTACACAACACATATATCATAGCTGTCATGTCATTTTCATGTTTTGATTTATTTTCCATAAGAAGTGAATGTGGTGTTTTTTTAAAATTCACAAAAATAGCAGCAATTAGAAAAAGTTTTATGCAGTAGTATAGTTTTAATACCCCAAGTCAAATTACATTTTTGTGGTTTTCTAAGTGAAAATAAGTTATGCCACCCTCTACAAAGAATACATTCAAATATGGCATTTTTCTGCTAACTTTAGTGCACAGTTTCTGTTTTTTTGCTGAGACTTACTAAAAAAATAATAAAATATACAATATAAACTATGCCATAATATATGTTAAATTCAGCAAAGCAATTCTGCAATAAAGTGTGCAGAAGTGCATTCTCAGTAGAGCATGTGTTAACTTATTTTCACATTGAAAATCAACTAAAGGGTCCAGGCAAAGGGGTGGCTGAACATAGTGGCTAAAGTATCTGACGTCCCTGAGGATTTCTGTCTTAAGCTTTTTCCACATTTCAGTTCATACTGCTTTTTGAATAAGACAGCCAGTAAGAACATTTACATATAGGCCTATCAGTCTATAACAAAAACACTGTAACAAAAACAGTAGGTTTAATTGTAAAGGATAAAGAATGGTTTGAAAATTGCCATGTAAACATGAACTATGACTGTTTTATGGTAAACAAAACCACACAAACATTATAAGTAAACTTCTGGGGAAAATACAAGAAAACTGTGGAATATGGCCCCTTTAAATGAAATGATTGGCCTGATGTTCAGTGACTCCGCAACTGCAGTCCATATGTGCATTAGCGTATTTTACCAAGAGTAAGCCAAGCACCGCGATCCCTTGTGCCTAGCTCAGCATATGCATTAATTTAGCTTTAACAGCAGAGGAAAAATCTTGTTAGGAAGCTTGTTATATTTCCTTGAGTCTTAACAAGATAGAGAATTTGTCCTGATGCAAACATTATATTCAAGGAAGCTCAGGCCTGCGTAATTACTCACCTGGTGCTACTGCGAGCTAAAAGACTTAAACCAAATCCCCGCTGAGACTAGACTGTGACTTCTTTCTTTCTGAGCATGAGCAAACAGGAGCATCTTATAGAGGACAGTAATGATCGATTTCAGGCTAAAACGTTTTTGATGCAAGGCTCTGTCTGTCTTGTCATCTTCTGAGCCAAGTAAAAACCCATATTCAGCCCGTGCTGAATTATGTATTGTTTTTGTTTCCCTGCTCTCTCTGCGTAATTATTCTACTCTAATGGAACTGCACAGACTGATGCTTCTGCTGTTGCAGGTTGTATTTTTTCTCCTGGACATGATGGGATATTTCAGAGCCTACAGTGTAGCTGGGACTGTACACCTGATTCTTTTGGCAGGGTAATATGAAGAAGTAAAACAAAGCACAGACTTCTTTCAGTCTTCAAAACTGATCAAATTCAGCAGGGAGATGGAGCCATGGTGCAAACATTTGATTGATTTTCTCCCTTTCGTGTTTGCTTGCACAAAGCATCTAATTTGGTGTAATTGTTTTTGTTATTTGTGATTTGTCACTTGCAAAGACAGAGTTATTAAAGCCATTAAAATGGCAGCTAAGATCTGTGGAGATTTATGCAGGCTCTGAACAAAATTATTCTTCTGTAACACTTTATTATAACAATAGTTATCATAAACTAATTGTGTTTAGAGCTGATTATCATAGATTAACATTTCTTTTGTAAGACACATATAAGCCATTACTTGATTGCGGTTTACAAATGACTAATAAATTCTTTTTGCAGCCCCTAATCTAGAGTTATGTTACAGTGTCCTGTTCCTGGCTTCACTATCTCCTGTCTCCTCCAGCGTAGCCCTGCATTATCATTAGTGTTTTCACCTGGGTGTAGTTTGTTACTCTTCCTTTTCCAGGTGGTTTCTATTCTTATCTTTGGTATAAGTAGCTCTCATGTTTTCCTTTGCCTTGTCTGGCATCATTTGCTTAAAGTTTTGTTTGCAATATTTGTTTTGGCCTTAAGTTTAATAAAAAAAATAAAAAAATCAACTCACACCTAAATCATTAATGGTGGTCTGATCTTCTGTCACAAGTGGAGGCATTAAGGCAGGACTGTTTACTAAGGTTGTTCATGACTAATATACATCGATCAGGCATAACATTATGACCACCTCCTTGTTTCTCTGCTCATTGTCCTTTTGATCAGCTCCACTTACTTTACTCACTTATTCACTCAGCTCTAAAACTCCAGCACTGCTGTGTCCACTCATACCAGCACAACACACACTAACACACCACCACCACATCAGTGTTACTGCAGTGCTGAGAATGAACCACCACCCAAATAGTACCTGCTCTGTGAGGGTCCATGGGGGTCCTGACCACTGAAGAACTATTCTAGTGTATAGGAGCATTTATTGAGGTTGTTTAAGGATTAATATCTCCTGTTCTACTGTATAGGAGTGTTTATTGAGGTTGTTTATGGACTAATATCTCTATTGTAAGTGTAGTAACCTTCTAGTGTGAGTTTGTAAATGACTGATGGGCATTTTTAGATATTTACATAAACTGAATTTGTATATCATTTTTAAAATATGACCAAGAAAATCACTGCTGTTTGTTAATGTTTACCATTTCATTTAGAGGCCTAAAGTTTTTAGCATTATTTTTATTGGTGTTTACAGAAGATACTTTGCATTAGCAGCCAAGTTATTTGTTTTAGATGTCTTTGTAACTACTCACATCATATATTAACTCATAGTGGAAAGAGTTCACACATTAACTTACGTAGACTATTCCTTTATAAAATAATAATGATGAAATTCCTGGTAAGTATGTGAATTGTTAATTATGAATTAGAAGCTGATTACTTCTTTTTTAAAATTTGATCATGATTAGTTAACTGTAAAATAAAATGTAATAGATGTCTTAGAAACTATCTTTATTATAAAATGTTACCCATTCTTCAGAACTGTGGCTGACGCATGCACGTACACACATATTTAATATGTAAAGCAATGTTTCTTGCATCCTCTATTAAAATGTACATTAGTGTCTAATCTCTCTTATGAATTGAATAATGCTGATATGCTCCTGCTACAGGAATGAGATGTGCCCTGCACTGACGCCCTCGTTTTCATCCAATGACATCACATTAGGTCTGATTAGATGCTGCAGAAAGGAACTTAAAGTCTCATTGCTCTAATGGGGTATCAGATCAGATGCTCTCTTGCCTTAATGATTATGAAATGAAATAAGACGGGAGCGCTGTGCGTTAATTATCCCCAAGGCGTTTACTTGAACCCACCACTCTGAACCTGCTGGGCTTCTAATGATGCCCCTCATCAAAAGCCAGCAGAGTACGCTGGAGGAAACCAGATTAAGGACAAGGCCCAAACAAAGTCAGTTTTAGATGCAGGCTTTTTACAGAAAGCTTCATCTGAGCAGCAAAAATTTAACTGAGCAGCGCGACAATGTTTCACTCTTTTACATTCATACATACCCAACAAAAAACGGCAAAAATAGTCAAAACTATTTAGCCATCAATTGTGTTATGGTTCCTAAGCTATGCATCAGTTTACTGAAATGAAAAAACACTATATAGGACTAAAACCTGAATAAGAGCACTTATAAAGCAACAGTAAATGTATTTTGTGTAAAAAAGTATTTACCTTATGTTTTGAAAGTTGTGTAAAGTTAATTTTTCTCAATTTATCTCCGTCATTTTAAAACAAATCAACAAGAATTTCCTACAGTGGGTTACAATAATGAAAGACAAGTGAAAATTAGACCAATTTAAATCAACTTAAACTTAAATGTGTTTGTCTCCTCCTATGTTGTTGCTGGTCATCCTCTTCCTCTTTTACAACTCGTCTAAGCATAACTGTCTTTTCCAGTGAATTGGTTCTTCTCATAATATGTCCAAAATAAGAGAGCTTCAGTATGGTTATCTGGACATTGAGTGAAAGGTGAGGCTCGACTTAGACAGCGATCCAGTTTATTTTTGTTTGTTTATTTTGCCATCTACAGTACTCAAAAGCCTTTGCTAGTACCAAAGTTCAAATGCATCTGCAATCTTCTTCTGTCTTGTTTTTTTGTTGTTGTTGTTGTTGTCCAGCCTTCACATCCATAAAGTACCATAGAAAAGACCATATCCTGGACAGTTCTGATCTTGGCACGTCATTAAATTTGAAAATCTTTTCAAGCTCCTTGATCCTTGTTGTGCCAAGTGCCAATCTGTGTTGAATTTCTTGACTGCTAGATGCTTTGTTTTTGAAGTAGGCAAAAGCTGTTCACCACTGCTACATCTTCACCATGAATGGAAAAGCTAGCTGTTGTTTCCATTGTCATAACTTTTGTTTTCTACCATATTTTCACTCTAGCAGTATGTCATACAGTATCAGAAACCATTAGCAAAACTGAGATTGCTTAATGACTTGACCTGGTTTGAATGAAGAATGTGATGATTTAGGCACACACAGTTGGCAAGATGCTAGTTGGTGGGGTTTAAGCTTGGCTTAGCTACATTTTGAGTTTGTGTAAATCTGTATAAATGTTGGCTGAACTTCACCCTTTAAGTTACAAATATACCCACTCTGCAAACTAGTTTATTTAATAAGTGTGAGGACTCCAACAGCTTGCGTGGTATAGCAGGCTGGGAGTATTGGACTAAGAGATGTGAGTCACAGGTGCTTATAAGAATATTAGGACCACACCCAGACAATTCCCAGATAGGTCTGATCAGTTTTTTAAACTGTGTTTAATTGTATTTCTCTCTATTGTTTTATTATTCAAGCTTTGCTGAATGTTAATAATGTTATAATAATAACATTCAAGCTCAGTATCATAGAAACATTTTATATTTTCTGCATGTGTTTCCTTGGGCTAAGTTTAGGTTTGGCTTACAGGCAGCCTAGTATATTCTCTCCTTTTTACACCCCCATTATTTATTCCAGGTAAGGGTGATGTGTTTGGCGACCTGTTCTGGAAGGAGACTACGCTCGCTCATGCATGTGCTAATGTGAGGGCATTGACCTACTGCGATCTTCATGTGATCAGGAGAGAGGCTCTGCTCAAGGTGCTGGAGTTCTACACAGCCTTCGCTAACTCCTTCTCGCGGAACCTCATCCTCACCTGCAACCTCCGAAAGAGGGTAAGAGGCATATTGTCTTACTGTCTTACATGATAAAATCAAGCAGTTCTGTACAAAAACACACAAGGTTATGCTCGTGTAATGCACATACATTATTGTTCCTTCAGTGTCTAGTGGATTACCATTTTGCATTTCTGGTTTTGGCTCCATTTTTTGCTCCACTGACTTTTTTTCTTCAACCATTTTGCCTCACAAATTTGTTCACACTGTGGCTTGCCATTTAGCCTCACCTGAACCTGTGGCATGCTGCCCTGCAGTCTGACTTTATTATTGGTTAAGTGGAGGAGCGAAGGCTCCAGCCCGGTTATGGCCTTGGAACCTGGCCTCACACTGGTTAAGCACATGAATGATTCATTCGGACTGGCAGCCTGCAGAGAGCGCTGAGCTTCGCTGCTGAGGAAAAAAATCCTCCAACAGCCACTGGAAATTTGTTGATGTCAGTCCTTTCTTTAAAAGCCACTATTTTAAGGCATGATTGCAAGCATTAGCCTACAAATAAAGAGGTAAAATGTACCACTAAAGGAAAATACAGCTTGATTTGATCATCCACATGCTTCAGTTGCACACCTTAATAATATAATCGCTCAGTGATGGAGGAAAAACTTAAAAAAAAAAACATCTCCAAAATTAGAACTTCTTAGGAAAATAAAAAAGAGATTGCATTTGGACCATTTGTACTGGTCTAATTACAAAGAAAAGTGACAGCTTGGATTTCTCACTATTGTAAATAAAAAGTAAATATAAGTTAAAAAATAAAAAGAATTAAGTTACAAGGTTTCAATCTGAAAGTGAAGCTAAGGTTTCATAATATATGCCCTTGTATCTCTGGTGAGTTCAGCTCAGGTTAGAGAGAGATCTTTTTGTTCCTGTCTCTAATCTCAAATGTAGAGCTAAAAGAAAATGGGTTTACATGGGCAACCTCCAGTTAATTCATTCAGCTAGCTTCAAGTTCAGTCAAAATGCTGTGGAGCATGACTAAAGAGGCAGGAGTCACTGAACCTAAATATTCATTTGATTTCTACAGCCATAGCGAGGAGAAGGCCTTCCTCATGAAAACATACCTGCAAAACTGTATGAGTGCTCTAGCATTTCTCAACCTAATCTCTATCTGCTGCGTCTTTAGCTTGTGGTCAGCTACCACGGACGATAAATTTGACCTTTTCCTGTACTTAGTAAAAGACCTGAAAACCTGCTGACTCATACCATATAAACAGGTGCTGAATCATCTTTGCAGTATGCAGCAACATTTTGTTTAAATACACTGGAAGATTCTTTCAATGCAGCTTGGATAAGCTTGTGCATCAGGTAGAAATGAGGGGATTCTGATTATGCTAGTGTTGTTTGGTCATTATCATTCAGTAGAACAGAGGAGCAGGGTGTGGTGCACTGACAATTGTCAAAAGTTTAATTTTTAAAAATAACAATAATCAGTGTAGACATATATAACACAGTTTTTCGCCAATTACTTTGTCATGCTAACTGTGGCACTGTGGTTAATGCTGAAACACAAGGCCAGTGGGAGTGTCCTGCATCCTGGGTATGTTGAGAGGGTTATGTGTGTTCACAGTGATGAGCTGGGAAGAGTAGTTGAGAAGAGCAGGCTTTGATAAGGGTGGTATGTGTCTGTTGTCTGGGGTGTAGAGCTTTAATCAGGCCTGTCATTTTGGTTTGAATCCAAATACATGATTTTTCACATTTCTATCCCATGTCTGAATGACTAAATACACACATTCTACCCATCTGTATTTTAAAAGGACTCACTGATGTGGTAGCTCATTAATAGGCGGCATGGGTGGAAAGATGGGAAAAATCAGAGCTACTACACACACCACAAAACACGTATAGATTTGGCTTCCTGTTACTATAAGACCAGTCACTCGACTTTGCTCTCAGATATCCTCTAATTAGATGTTCCTTTAGCCTGAATTAGCTGGAAGTCTTGTGGCTGTGGTGTGTGGCATGCTTGATGTGCTAACAAAGCTATCCTTAGCCTAGTCAAAACGCTACAGTCTGAAACACTAGAGAAAGTTTCATTTTGGCCTTTTGTCACTCACTCAACTTTTCCTCTGACATAAATTTTTTAATAATCTACAATTGTTTCCGCAGAGCCAGTTAATCAGAATCAGACCTGTACTGTGGATAATGGCAATGTTTGGGTCTGTAGCCTGATCACTAAGCTAACGTTAATGTTACAGGTCTGAAATTCAATGCAATGATTTATTTTTGCGTTTCAGTTCCTTTAGTGGCAGTTAAGCAGAGCCTAATCATACTAGCTAAGCTAATGCTAACCAGCTTCTCTCTCCTAGTTAGCAGCACTGTTTAACATTCAGCAATTGTTAGATAGATGCCTTGACATTTATTGAATGATGGCTTGAAAATTTATTTGATTACCAAGTAAGCAAACTACACTGATTATTTGGAATAGCACAAGGTCAGAGGTCTAAACACATGGCAAGAAATGTTTATTGTCCCACTTTTCCACATCTGATTGGCCGCCTGGTGAAATTCTTCTGTCATTTGCTGTAGCCACTCCCTCTGCTTAGTAGTAGTACCACCTCCAGATGTTTTAGCATCATTGTAGCACCCCTGTGAAAAAATGTCCAGTCCCTCCGCTGCTGTTGAGAGAGGTGTGGGAGCTTTTAGGGCTGAATGTTGAGTTCCTCCATGCTGGAGTGACACAGGCAGCTTGCCTCCCTCTGTGCTCGAGCAGCTGGGTGGCTGTGCTGATGAGCTGAAGAAATGCCCCCCGCAGAGCGCACCCTGAATAAAGCATGAGTCACACCAGCAGGAATGCTCTCAAACAGACGCAAACACACTCTTCTGCTTCGCAAACAAACCAAGCCACGGTCATGCACCCTAAATATACTCATATTCCAGAACACATGGCTGTAGTATGCACTTGCGTCTCCGAACACCAGTGTCAGTTTGGACAAAATAACAGAAACCAGTGAGACATGTTCTAGGAGGTGAATCGCGTTCTTCTCTCCACATGAATTCGGTCTCATGCGGGCACACATAATACCTATCAGTTCCTTCTGTCACTGAAAGCCTCTTCTTTCTCTCTGCCTTACCTTAACAGCTTTTATCTTCCAGCTGTCACTCAAAACCTCTCACTATGCTCCATCTGCCCTGGTCAATGGCTGCCTGTTCTCTCCACATTGCTCTTTATAGTATCCTCACTGTGAGAAAGTGGCTCAGTGAAAGCCTAGTGAAATGCCTCAGAAAGGAAAGGTTAGCTCTGAAAGAGCACTGGAGCCTTAGCCTTTGGCCATTAGCGCACCAGAGAGTTGAACTTTTGCAGGGGCTCAAGTGACTCAAGGGTCTCAACTCTTGACTGAGGACTTTTTGTTTGTTCCCCTGCTGCTAGGATTGTTTTGACCATCATTCCAATTGTTCTCGCATGTTTCCCTGTATGAGGCATAGTGTGCTGGCTGTAGGGGTGAGCAATATGATAATATTCATCATTATCATGATAAATTATGTCACTATGCTTTTCACTAAGCAAATATGCTTTTCTGAGTATGTAGTGGATATCATCAGTATGAAAGAACACTGAACAACTGCATGTTTCATGACAAAGAGAGCATTATTTGGTCTTTAAAGTGGGTGTAGAACAGTGCAGTATGTAAAAGGTTGAATTAAATTCATTGTAAAATCATCATAGTTTTTGCGAGTATTTTTTAAATGTGGCACTACTGGTTCTTTTTTGTATGTTCCAGCTTATCAAACCTCATGAGAACATCTTGAAGTATTGCAATGCTATATTTTTGCACTTCACAAGTTTACAGTTACAGACTGTAGCCCATCTGTTGCTGCACAATATATCAGCCCCCCGCTACCCCATATTTTACTATGAAGGGACCACCATAAAATCATAAACCAAGCAGGTGTTATTTAGGTGCTGGACCATTCTCAGCATAGCAGTGACATTGATATGGTAGTGACATGTCAGTGTATGTTGCATTGGAATGTCACTGTTGGGTTGAGGACAGTCCTCCATCTAAACATACACAACCAACCATTCTCTTGTGGTCATAAAAACTGAAAACTGATTATAAGCTTTAAAAATGAATAAAACAAATTATGCATGAAATAATGAAATAATGTCTACTCAAATGTGGTGTGGTGGTCCTGTGGTGGTCTTGTGGTGGTCCAGTGGTGGTCCAATGATCGACAGTATAAAGGGTAACTTTTATAGAAACAGATGGGCAACAATCTGCAACCGTATGCGTACAAAGCGCACCTATAGTAGGAGTACCAGATAAAATGGTCAGTGGATGCCAACTCAGTGCATATGTACGCTCTTAAATATAAAGTTACCAAAAAAGCAACCTGAAGAACTTTTCAGTGGATGGTTTTTTAGAAAACCATTTTTTGAGTGTGAAAAACCATTTTGAAGTTTAAAGAACCTCTGCATAATGTACAGGTTTCAGGAGAAATCCTTGCAGTGGTACAGAACCTTTGCATTATGTGGTTTTTCACACTCATAGATCTCTTTTTTCAAACATAGTTGGTTCTTTTTCCCAAACAGCAGGCTGTAGATTTGTTCCATGTCGTGGGTCATTTGATACCGGGCCCCAAAAATTGTTGCAGGGCCTAACTCCACAATTTTATTAATGATTTTGTTATTATTGTTATTAACAATTTAACAATCCACAACATCACCATATCAAAATATACACTAACAATGGGTTAGAAAAGTTAGGATCTCCTGTTTTAGGCAACTAAAAGTGTTTTATGGCATTACTCAGTGAACCCTGTTGTGGGACCCTTTTGAGAGTAGATTACACCCATGACGGATGATTTGCTGACTATAGGAGGGAAAAGATAATTGAACTGTTGCTTTGCCAAAGCTTTATGTTTGTTCATAAGAAAAAATGAACGAGTCCTTGAGATCTCAGTATAAGACCTCAGTGGAGCTGCAAATGCAAAGAACAAGCAGAATCCTGCCCCCCTGCTGGGTGTCCCTCACTGGATTTACAAGACCGCAGCTGGAAGCT